AGGTGACCGTCCCATCACTGTTCAGAGGCATGTTCATGGAGACCAGCCTCTGTGAGCAGAACACACACACACACACACACAATTTTAAGTAAATATATGTTATATTTAATTCCCCCCAGACATTGTTTTTCTAAAAAAAATTTATTGCATTGAGATTAAATTTGTTTTCATGAGTTTGTGCTTTTATTTTGAAGGAGTCGATCTTCTTTTTTTTTTTTTTCCTCATTTCAGCTACGTCAACAGGATTGTCTGTTTTCAAACGTAACTCCACACACACACACACTGAGGAGCCCGCATTATGTTTGCATGGTTAGACATACATCCACTGGGGGGCAGTGCTGAGCCCAAATCTGGACTGACAGTTCGAACAGATGCAATCCTTCTCCCTGGTTTCTTTTGTTGCTGTTCCTTTTAATGACTACACTGAATAAACTAATGAATGAACAAATAAATCAGGTGTCAAGTTTTTGTTTTTTTGTTTTTTTGTTTTTTTTGTACCTTGTGTGTGAGTGTGTGAGGACAAAACTTGCCAAAACCCAGTGGAGGAGGAATTCTCCGAAGGAGCGTCACCACATCCAGGTGTTTGATACGACCTCTGTCAGCAAAAAAAATCAAGTCATTAACACAGGTACAGTGTGTGTGTGTGTGTGTGTGTGTGAGTGTGTGTATTCTCGGACTCCTTCTTTTGAACTCACGTGGCCTCGGGATCATATTCTGCCCAGATTTTCTTAAACTCGTCCAGATGCTGAGGACCGAGAATGGACCAATCGCGCGTCAGATAGTCAAAGTTGTCCATGATGACGGCCACAAACAGGTTGATGATCTGTTACAGACGGGGACGATCGTTGTTGTCTTTGTTAGCCTGGTGTCGTATATGTTGCTAAGAGTACTTCAGATAATACTATGTATAGCTTTACTTTTCTTTTACAGTTTTCTGACCTGAAGAGGTTTATTTCTAAAAAAATGAAAAAATAAAAAATATATAGTATTATAGCTACGTATACGATCTCAGAATAAAAGTATTTTTAGGAAATAGTTTTCAGAACAAATATCTAAGTCCTAATACTCAAATATCAGACGTTTCATGGAAGCTGAAGATAAAACACAGCTGACAACCTCATGTTTGCTGACCCCTAGTGTTAGAAGAGTGAATGGCTATTTTACCAGAAAGGCACAGAGCATGTAGAAGCTCATGAAGTAGATGATAGCGAAGTTGGATCCACAGGTGAACTCTTCTCCAGGCAGGAAGTCAGACTTAGGGTCGCACTTCTTCCCATACATGCAGGCCAACATGACTTCATGCCAGGCCTCGCCGGTGGCACACCTGTAACACACAACAGTTCACAGTGACACACACACACCTGTAACACACAACAGTTCACACTGACACACACACCTGTAACACACAACAGTTCACACTGACACACACACCTGTAACACACAACAGTTCACACTGACACACACACCTGTAACACACAACAGTTCACACTGTCACACACACACACCTGTAACACACATGTAGTGCTGATGTACTACAGGTGTAATATAGGTGTAGTGCAAATGTGGTACAGGAGTAGTGCAGATGCAATACGGGTGTAGTATCCGTGTATTGCAGAAGCAGTATAAGTGTAATATTGTTGTAGTGCAGATGCAGTACAGGTGTAGTCCAGATGCAGTACACATATGCAGTACAGGTGTAGTATAGGTGCAGTGCAGATGGAGTGCAGGTACGTACAGGTGTAGTATAGGTGCAGTGTAGATGCAGTACAGGTGTAGTACATATGCAATACAGGTGTAGTATAGGTGTAGTGCAGATGCAGCACAGGTGTAGTATAGGTGTAGTGCAGATGCAGTATAGGTGTAGTGCAGATGCAGTACAGGTGTAGTCCTGATGCAGTACAGGTGTAGCGCAGATGCAGTACAGGTGTAGTGCAGGTGTAGTACAGATGCAGTACAGGTGTAGCCCACCAACCTGAAGAGAAGCAGCACTGCCTGTGGAAACGTCTGGAAGTTGTTGTTCCTGTTGATGTAGGTGCCGTCAACCAGTGCAACTTTACCAAAGATCTGAAGAAGGAGTAGGATGAGGAAGAGGAAGATGAGAAAAAGAAGGAGGAAGAGACCGAATTCTAACTTGTTTCGTGTGAGTAAAAAC